ATTCTGACAGATTTATGAAGCAGTTCAGCTGATTTGCAGTGAAAGGGAAAAGACTTACAAGGATGATTTTTCAGATCCATTGAGAAGTTCTCCACTGTATCATGTCGCAGTGTTTTGGTCGACTCAAGTTTAAGTGCTGACTTCTTGTCCTTTCCCAATCCCATTTTCCTGTCTCTCCTCAAAACTATTATGTCTATATAAGTCAAAAATGCCCAAAAAATATTTTTATATATATATATTTAAAAAGACAAGGGAAAAAATTATTCACTCACAAATTGAACATTATTATGGTTTGCGGAGAAGCTGATGGAATATTTTATTAAGAAGACAATAAATAATAATGTACATGTTAACAGGTTTGGGGTTTGTAATTTTTTAAAAAGATAATACCTTCATTCATCAAGGATGCATTGAACTGATCAAAATTGATTATAAAGACATTTATAATTTTACAAAAGTTTTTTTTTTATTTCAAATTAATTCTATTCAAAGAATCCTGTAAAAATGCAGGGTTTGCACAAAAATGTTAAGCAGCACAACTGTTTTCAATACTGACAAGAAGAAGTGTTTTGTGAGCATCAAAACAGCATATGAATGATTTCTGAAGGATCATGTGACACTGTAGTAATGGCTGCTGAAACTTCAGCATTGCCATCACAAAAATAAATTACACTTTAAAATACATTAAAACAGAACATTTTTTAATTCACTCAGTGTGACTGCTTTACTGTATTTTTGATCAAATAAATGCAACCTTAGAGAGCAAAATAAACTTTTTTTCAAAACATACAGACCTCAAACATACAGTAGTGTACATTCATTACAGAAATTGATTTTTTTGTATTAATTTCTCTGACATGTCTCTGAAATGTCCTGGTTTTCCATGATTATGGGAACTCTGATTTACAGAGAATGAGAGCAGCCATCTTATTTGAGCATGCTTAGGCTTGCCACATGGAGCAATTTGACATGAAAGTCAAACTGTGACACTGTACTTGTCATTCATTATGTATCGAGCTGCTATCTGCTTAATTAATAAATTATGAGAAAAAAGTGTGATTTCATATGTTGGAATGCTGCACTACATGACACCAGAGTGACTTACTTCAATAAAACACAGAAAGGCCAAGGACACTCCTCACACCCAGATTTACGCATAGGCATTCTAGGCAACGTGCCTATGCTCGCTCGTCCGGGGGGGCCCAAACACAATGAAGAGATATATAATATTTTGTTATACTATGAGCTATCTACAACAATAAAAGAGCCAAAACCTCAGAAGACATTGAGCAAATAAATATAACAAACAAAAGGGTAAAAAAATGACAAACTATTTCCATGTCTTCCACCTTTTTTATGTATGTAAATCACGCTTTCTCCAGTTCTCTCTCACAGACGCACACGCACGCACTCACGCACACACGCGGACATAAACTTGTCGCCAACGCCACCCCGCGAATTTATCAATAAAATAGTTTTGCAGCTGAAAAGCTACATGACATTTCTCAGTAGGGAGGTTCTTGAAGCAGTTTAACTTAAAGATTCGCTATTAGTAGACGCTGCTGCTGAACACTGCTGAGAGACGCACAGACGCAGGTATTCACACGCACTTAATTAATATCTCTCTCTCTCTCTCTCTCTAATAACTGCATTATAGACTGCATCAATAACTGCATTAGCATGCATATCAACGGCTCAAGCCTCTGTTATTAGCTCTAAAATGACGTTTTGGAATTTGCAATGGTTTGAGGTGCATAAAAAAATAGTTCAACACATTTCAGGATGAAAATATGTCAAATGTCTTGAAACAAATCATCTGAACAAGGTCTTGATGTGTGGTTTTGACTCCAGGCCGTTTAAATTATTAGAGAAATAACTCCCGAAGTGGTACGCCGCGCCTATTAATGGAATGGTCTTTCTGAGTTCTCAAACAAATTAAGAACTACATTCGATTCGATTTTTATTGACTGAACACATGCGCTTATTGCGACAGAAAACACTGTAACGTTTCCACTGATTAAGAAATATTTGTATTTGCTTGGGTGGTAATATTAGGCCTTTTATATTAATAGGGAAGGGGGCCCAAAAATTAGTTTTGCCTATAGCACAAAAAGAGGTAAATCCGGCCCTGCTCACACCTATATGTCTTCATGACTAGTTTTGTGCTACAAATGCCATTCCAGGTAAAACGTGTCCTGACACGTACCCGACTAACTCACAAATCACAGGATGACTGTGTGTTTAAGAGAGTATTCATGTGTAAGTGCTCGTTTGAAGGTGCAGGTGAATGTGGTTTGGGTCAGCGTATCATTGTTAAACCTAAATGACTTTAAGGATACAACAAGATGATTTTGGTACTTAGAACAGGGGTCTTTAAAAGGGGGTCCAACAGTTATGTTTCATCTGAAACTAGAAAAAAAAGAAAGAAATATTAACTAAAAAACCCTCAAGTTCCTCTAAATGTTTCACTGCCCTGTCACATTAAAATGTGAACAATTTTAACGGATTTGCAATGTAGAAATCATAAAGTACGTACCACCAGCGGGCCCTTGGTCTGAAAAACATTTAAGACCCCTGATTTAGAAAAGAGGAGTGTCATTAAAGGGATAGTTCACCCAAAAATGAAAATTCTGTCATTTGCTCACCCACAGGCTATTTCAAACCTGTATGAGTTTCTTTTTTCTGTTGAACACAAGAGAAGATATTTTGAAAAATATGGGTAACCAAATAGTTGATGGTCCCCATTGACTTCCATAGTATGGAAAAAATACTATGGAAGTCAGTAGGGACCATCAACTTTTTTTCTTTTTTCAAAATATTTTATTTTGTGTTCAACAGAAGAAATAAACTTATACAGGGTTGAAACAACTTGAGGGTGAGTAAATGATGACAGGATTTTCATTTTTGGGTGAACTATCCTGATAACTTACATTACATCATCACAAAAATGTTTTCAGCAATCAGATTTCATGCCAAAGGGATTTTCCGTTCAGTTAAACTTAATATAACAGTTCCTTTATGCCTTTAATGCTCTGCTGTTACACAAGCCAGAAGAAACTGGTTTGATAATGACATGACAAATGGCACAGTGACAATATGCTGAGGTAAGCCACAAACATATATGCAGGATGATAATTAACATTTTCTTTTGATCTGTTATTAATGTTGCATGAGTGAAAACACACCACTGGCGGTGAGCAATCTTCCAACAAAGGCTGCATTTACACTGGCACAAAAAATCCGATCTTTCGCTCACATCTGACACAGATCGGAATTTGTTGCACACGTGTAAACACAAAAACCCGCACGAGATCCGATTTTTTTGCATCCGATCTGAGCCACTTCCAAATGTGGATTTTAATCGGATACACATCTGAAAAAAATTAGGAGGAAAAATTAAAGAAAAAAATTGTAATTTACACTTTAACCAGTATACAGGGCTTAAAGTTTTCCGGCGTGCAGCTGCAGGAAAACAAAATCGTCCTACATTTAAAAACATTTGATATCACGTTCAAGTTCATGAGTTCGCCTACCAATGTATTAGAGGAACACTTTCACTCTCAACCAAACTAACATTTCTTAAAGTATTAAAACATTGTCTCGTTCTAGTGAACCAAGTGTCTGCATTTTGTCTCACCTTGTGAGCTAAGTGTATCATCACACCCCTAGGGTCTATGAGCGTGATAAAGCTCATAATTATCCAAGTGTAGGCTATGATATAGCTTTCATTCTTCAGGTCAACCATATATTCATGAAAAAAAAAAATCAGTTTGAATAAGGAAAGTGAGATCTTATAGAAATAAGTGAGATCTGATTTTAGTTCTTGAAAACCAAAAAAGTAGTGCAAGTCCTTGAAAGTCCTGGAATTTTATTTTGCAGTATCTGTACAAACCTTGCATAAGTTACCAGTTCTTGGACCATTTTAATGTTTTTGTTGTTGTTGTTATTTGAACTGAACTGTAGTTTTCTGTAGTAAACTGTCTTTGTATATTTACTATTTTATATTAATTTTCTAGTATTTAATTTACCATTATTTCTTTTGAACAAAACAATTTCAGAATTTTCACGTTTTAGCTTGTAGGTCATCTTGTTCCCTGTCAAGGACAAAGCTAACCAGCAAAACTTGATTATCAAAAGCATCCTAAATGTTACATGTGTTTGCACCATATTGTAGTGAGTAACCTTTCTTGGTATTGCTGTTTCAAATATCCCACCATAATCTGTAGTCTGAGCCTGTCAAGGGCTAATGGCAGATACGTTACTAATTAGTTTAAAGGAAAATCATTTTCTTTTTTTTGTTTGCCAAATAACCCTGTGTATGTGTCCGCCCCCGCAACCCCCCGAAAAAAGTTCAGGCTCAGGATTTTTTTTTTTTTGCTTTAACCCCTGAGTATATTATTACTCAATTAAAAGGTTTAAAATATATATATATATATTGATCTAAACTATATGGCCATAAACATGAGAACAGCCTCTTCAAATTAGCGGGTTTGTCTCTTCCACAAATTTCAACTATAAATTTCAATGCAACATTAGAAAATTACATTCTGGAGAATTGTGTGCTTACAACTTTGGGGCAACAGTTTGTGAAAGGCCTTTTTCCACCATGACACACAAAGCCATTTCCATTATTATTAATTATGATTATCACAATTTACATTGAATGATGTTTATACCATTGTTTGATGCAACTGCATGCCGTATTTTTATATGAAAATAAACAAGCTGAAAACACTCTAACTGAAAAACTTTTAGCGCTTTTCTATAGTTTTAAGCCTCAAATGTCAACTATACATCGGATTGGTTTCTTCTTTAAATTATAAAAAAAATTAAAATATGAATGGTATTATAATGTTATACTAAAACTAAAATTTAAATAATGAGAACAACCCATAAGATAACATGTAGAAAGAAAAAAACGCATCTTAAGCACGCAGAATAACATAAGCGGACTTTGAACGATTAATTGCCGCTTTGAACGATTACGTAATTGTGGCATCCATAATTGTAATCGCGATTAGAAATTCGATTAATTGTGTGGCCCTAGTCTGAACAAAGCCTATCACCCAACATCAGACCTCACTGATGTTTGTCTTTTGATGAACATTTAATTTCAGAAGAATGGCATCAGTGAGATCCGGCAGTGAATGTTGGAGACATACAGTCATTCTCTAGATTGTCACTGTATAGTATAACATTAAGATTTGTCTAGACTCAAATAGCCAAACCTACTGATTATAAGGGAGTAATCCACATACACTCACTTATGCATACTTACACACTCACTCATACAAACATATTTGCTATTTCCATTGTCATCCATTAAAATACAGTAGTGATGTGGCTGTGGCAAGGAGAGCAATGGCTGCTGTTACGGCCACACCTGTGTGTTTGAGAGAGAGAGAGAGAGAGAGCGAGAGAGAGAGAGAGAGAGAGAGAGAGAAAAGAAAGAGAGGTCATCAGGTAGGTGGAAATGGACCACTGGGAATGTGAGAATGTGTCCAAGAATTATAGGAATCGCACAAAGAAAAATATGGTCACATCAGCCCAACTAACAACCAACATGGAGTCACTCACACTGTATCATTATACAGCATATTGTTATCGTTAACTATATTGTTGAGCCCCATTTAATACCATGGTAGAAAGAGAATGACTTATTTTATGAATAAATTAGTTACTCATAGAGAAACAGAGAGTGATCTATATTAATATTAATAATAATGAATAATGTTAAGCACTTACCAGCATAATATTGAGGGGCTTTCTGAGTTTTAGGATTTTCAGCTTGGACTTCTGAGAAGACATGCTTACTACAATCATCACTGGGGCTGTCAGTTATCTCTGATCCAAAAACATCTGAAAATACTGGAAAAAAAAACATGCACAAACATGTACAAAATTTAATTACTAGGTATCATAGACTCGTGGCACTGAAGAGAAAGAAATTATGCAAGGAAAAAAAAAAGAGGAAAATAATCTTCTTTTTCCAAGGTGGAGATTGTGTCAGAGACGATATTCCAAAGTTCCCCAAAGGGTTTGTTATTACAAGGGATCAGATAGCCTGCGGCTAGTCATATTACCTCTTCCACATTTTTCCTTTTAACCATACATGGAAACCATTTGAGGGCAAACTTAAACTGGTCTGAACAAGAGGCAAGGTGTAGCTGGCTATTATTTTGGAGGAGAAATGAGGCAGGGTGTGTCACAAGAGGTCTGTATGCACCTATTTTGACAAGGTTTATCCTTTGGTATTCTATAAGTCACACACCTATACACATTCTTCACCGTTTAACCATAAAGCCCCTACAATACTTGTGTTCCATCATCCCTGAATCCTAGCGACTCTGCGAGGACTTGCTCTCCATTGCACAATACCCTAGTGACACATCTGAGGTCCACTTAAAAAAAGCCTAGAGGTGATACAAACCATTACCACAGTGCGATTCCTTAAGTACCGACGTTTCATTATTTAAATAAAGCCATCTTATAACATGAGAAACTCAAATAAAGTGAGAGAATTAATTAACCATATGTAACCATAATAATTAATTGTCACATATGGGAAACATACATTGATTGCCCTCCAAACCAGTATCTATGTTCTCTTCTGGTGTTTCGCAGTCCAGCATCTCTTTCAGACGCTCGGCCACATCTGCTGTACTTTCATCTGGAAACATGTAGTCACACACAGACAGGCCGGAGATGGGCATTGGTGCAAACACACGCCGAGGAAGAGCCTGCTGCCCACTGCACAGACCTAGACAAACAATATGGGAACTTATGTCTTGAATTATGAATACATTTATTTTTGTACTATGTACAAAATGATGTCACTCAATGAAGACAACTGTGACCCTGGACCACAAAACCAGTCAAAAGGGTACATTTTTTGAAACTGAGATTCATCTGAAAGCTGAATAAATAAGCTTTCCATTGATGTATGGTTTGTTAGGATAGGATATTTGGCCGTGATACAACTCTTTGTAAATCTGGAATCTGAGGGTGCAAAAAAAAAAATCAAAATATTGAGACAATCGCCTTTAAAGTTTTCCAAATGAAGTCCTTAGCAATGCATTTTACTAATGATAATACATTTTTGATATATTTACGGTAGGAAATTTACAAAATATCTTCATGGAACATGATCTTTACTTAATATCCTAATGATTTTTTGCAAAAAAGAAAAATTGATAATTTTGACCCATACAGTGTATTTTGGCTATTGCTACTTATGACTGGTTTTGTGCTCCAGGGTCACAATTGTGGCAACCTACTGCCATCTACTGGTCAATTTGGTGTTTGCAAAAGTTTGTTGTGGAAAGGATAGTGCACCCAAAAATGGAAGATTCTGTCATCATATATTCACACTCATGTCATTCCAAACTTGAATAACTTTCTGTCTTCTGTGGAACTTAAAACAAGATATATTGGTAACCATTTTTATTTCCCTCTTCAATTATATGGACAAAAATGCAATGGAAGACGAAAGACAGTCATAAACATTTGTAACAACTTGAGGGTGAATAACTGATGACAGCATTTTCATTTTTGGGTGAACTATCCCTTCCAACAGCACATGTAAGTCATGATGGACCACTGTACCTTTGTGACTCCCTTCATTTATTAAAAGATCTTCCAGAAACATCTCCACTCTGGAGCAAACCGTGTTTATGATGTCTCTCTTAATGGCCTACCAGTACAAAGAGAATATAAATCAGTATTAATCTTTTCAAAGACAGCAAATAACAGGCAAACAGAAAAAAAGTGTATTTAGTCAGCTTTCTGATCATGACAAATATTGTGTAATATAATTTTCATGCTACGGCTGATAACCGATAAATGAATAAATTCTTTTGTCTAAATAAATGAATATTAAAAAAATAATAAAATAGTTGAATTGAAAAAATGAATTCAGGCATTACAATATTATAATGTACAGTATAAAAAATGAGTTTACTTTGAGATTTGCTAAAGATTACATTTAAAAGCATTATTTAATTATGAGTCTTTTAAAGATTTTAAGTGAGTGTTAGATGATTGGCAATGGTAATCTAAAAGTAAAATAGGGGGAAATGAGCACTAACAATTAAATATCCAATATCAGTATATTTGATATATATCAAACATTATTTCATAACAATATGGTAGTGATATATTGCACATCCCTAAGCATAGAGCAGTATGAATAGGCTCTAATGACCTGTGCTGCATGTCTGGCTTTGGGTTTGTTGTTGTGGATGTAGGCCCTGCAGTAAACCACCCCTCGAACCTTCATGGAGCCACTGCACACCTGAACCAGAGCACTGCTCCGCTCATCCAGCTCTGACTGTTCCTGTGACATTGATATACTTATTATATATTTGACAATACACACATACATGCCCCACTGATAATCTTCATCAGAAGAAACTATTAGAAGCTGCTCACATCAGTGACAAAGATCCGTGCTGGCAGTGTCTGACGATGGGTTGCTTTTGGGTTCTTTTTCTGAAAAGAACAAACATGTACCTCAACACAAATGAAGAACCATTATGACAGTGGAATGACAGAGTGAAGTTTTTACCTGTCCTGATGAGAGTTCAGAGTCATCTAATGCCTGTCTGCCATTTATGAGACAGTAAGCAGCCTCAATCTGTTTAGCCCACCTCCTAAGACCATCCTGGACAAGGGAGGCAAAGGAAGATTAAACTCACAACATGTCAACCTACTCTGCTCATTTTCAAATCTACATTTTCCACAAAATCCTACACAAGAAAAACACTATCTTGTTTTCCATGCACCCATCATACCTTCATGCACTTGTCTGTGATATCAGAAGACACAGGGATCTGCACATCCACCTCAACAGAGCAGGTCACCATGGGCCAGGATGATGAGACACCTGTCTGATACTTCCAGTCTGCTGGCTTGGCCGAACTCTATAAATGCAAAACAAATAAAACACATATTAATCCAATACTATTTGCCACACTATTCCAAGCTTTAAGACAAAAAAAGTGTCTCTTACTTTTGGATCTTTCACATCAAATGTTTTGCAGACAGTTCTGTACATTTTAAGTCAAGGATCAAGCAAACTTGTGTGGGTATTAATACAGAATGATGCTTTTAGATCACGGAGTAAACAATTATGTAGTGTAATAGCTGGAGGTAGTGTGAAGGATACTTCTTTGTTTTGGAGCAGATATGCAGGGTGACTTGATCAGTCACATCCTCCTCTGACAATTCCCACAATCTTCCCTTAGTTATGTATTTATCCATGGCAAATATAAGCTACATAAAGAGAACAGCACAGAAATAAGTGCCTAAGTGATGATGGCCTACTAAATCATCTTTAATAAAATAAGCTAAAATGTGGTCCAGTCAATTTCTAAATGATTAGTATAATATATTTTAATTATAATTAATTACATTATTGAAAAATATACAATTAATAATACATAAATTGTTTTTGATTAAATAACAAATATTTTCTAACAAATAAACAAATTAGCAGATAAAAAAAAACAAAATACATCAAAGACCATACCCTTTTTAATGCATTTTGGGCATCTTTGGAGAGTTCAGGTGGGGTTACTAAAAACAGGCCAAGAATACAAAGACCTCCTGGTAACATGCGGGACACCTAGAATAGGGAAAGTCAAAATCCTTAATTGTACAACTTCACAGTAAAACATTTCAAAGCCACCGTGCAAGTGATAAGACATCAGGCTAATCACTTCTTGGCATGTTCTGTGACCCACTCCACATCAATGTCATCCAGTGGGCTGACCCCTCTCGAAGCCTTCGGCTGCCCCTCACTCTCCCTGTGAGGAGTCTGCACAGCCAGCACCACAAAATCTCTCTGAGGAGAGGACTGTGAAAAGAAAAGGTAAGGAAAATAGTTGTGTGTACTGACATTATAATATATAAATGAGTTTAGTTTCCTTACTTGACCAGCCAGGAGTCCGGTCACACATGACCCAGGAGCTGTCTGAAGCCCAACAAGATATTCCTCCACAGTTTCATCTATAAAGTAACTCCTACCCATTCTGCCTCTAAACACGCAAAAGAAAAAAAAAGTAATAATAATTCAATATTGTGCCATATTAACCTGCTTGCAACTGCAAAATAACTACCAAACTTATGTTACACTTCCAAAACAGATGCAAATTAATGTTATACATTTATACTGCGTTTTCACTGACAAAATATTTAAAATTGGACAAGTATTGCTGCTGTTAAGGGAAATTTTATTATTATTATTACTATTATTATCCGTTAAGTGCAAATGATAATTTAAATGAGTGTCAAACTATTTAATGACAGTAAATAACTGTTTAAGTTTATTTAGTCAGCCTTCTGATCATGACAAATCTTGTGTGAAATAATTATCATATTATGGCATATAACCATACATGGCCAATATTAAAATTCTATGCTATTTTGTCGAAATTATTTAAAAAATAAAACACTAAGAAATGCAAATAATTGTTAGGAAACACACATTATAACGTACAGTATGAAAAATGAATATAGTTGTTTTTGTATATTTTATTTTGAGCAATCACTGTTTCTACAAAATGAAGAGCAGAAGCAGTTGAATGTCTCACTCTAAATGAAATCAAAAAGTAATACATTGGCAAGAGTAAACTTCTTTAAACACATAGAAAACAATGACATTTTCGGAAACATACAATATAACAACAGAGCAGCAGCAAATCTTCAAACGCACCTTCAGATCACGCACACTTCCTCAGACAGCTGTGGACATCTCGTCGCAGAAAATACACGCTCCTCAGTTCAAGAGACCTGATTGGACAATACGTCTGTATGTCCGTGCTGCTTTGCGGCTTGAGTTTACATCGCTCAAATATGACGTAAGGGCAGCTAGCCGCTAATGCTAACTGTTGCAGTGTGTCGGAGAGATGGCGGCACTTCTTCAGCAAGCGCTGGAGAGAACCGACATAAACAAACTGCCGAAAGCAATCCAGAACAAGCTCGAGAAAGTTCTGTCAGAGCAGCAGACGGAAATAGACTCACTGAAATCACAGCACGAGCGATATAAAGCAGACTGCGGTGAGTAACGTTAACGGTAGCAGGCTGGCCAGAGAGTCATTCAACAGCCGTGTGTCTTAAACACTAGTGTACTGCCTGACTAGACAGCATGTTTAGGCATCATAAATGCATTTGTACTGATCCAAGACTTTGAGGAACAAGTTGTCTGCTTAATTATTCTGGAATGGCTTGTTTGTTCTGCACAAGTGAGCTACTGAGTTGTCTACTACAAAATTCTTGGTATAGTTATTTCTAAGATGTAGTGGCACACCAAAGAAAACGTGTGGCCCATGTTTGTCTGTTTTGTTTTGTTTTTCCACTTGAACTTTGTGTGTAATTGATCAGCTCTCTAGATACTGAAATAACAAGAATGCCATCTGAGCATATAAAGCCTTTCTTGATAACCTATAAATCATAATGAATGAAATGTTATAATGGTTCTTTCTCTCTACATCAGCAGTCTTACTCATAAGTGCAATCTCATGAAGTGTCAAATGAACTGTCAGTATGAATTGTCCCAGTAAAAACATGTTACATATTTTTTAATGAACAGAACAACAGTACTTTAGTCTTGAGAAGAAGCTAGCTGAGAGTCAGGAGCAGTTCTTGTCCCAAAGTAAAGAGTATCACAGTATTAAGGAGGAGAACGGCCGCCTCGGTAAGTACTGTGCATTAGGTTCTGTTTTTAATATGTGGATTGTATTGATGCAGTATTGCTGTATAACATAAGTGTGTTTGTTCTTTCTTAAAGCCGAGGAACTTAAGAAGCTAAAAGATATAGAGGAAGAGCAGGGGACAACGCAAGAGGTAACTACGAGTCTCTCACCTGTCATGCTTCATATGGACCTTTATATTTGAGCAGTTAAAGATGATGAAAATATCCCAATGTTTTTGCCGTTCAGAGTAAGCCGCCAAGAGCCAAATATGAAATCGAGGCAGAAAACAGAGAGCTCTCGCGGTTGCTTGAGAAGAGATCTCAAGAAGTGGAAAACCTCAGCGGTATGAGTTATTTTTGGCACTTTTATTTGCATGAGTGATCGAGGTTGTTTAATAATGTGCAATTTCACAATTCTCAATACCATAAAAAAAGCTATTATGCTTTTGAACTCTGTTCTATATTTAAATGCAATCTCATGAAGTGTCAAATGAACTGTCAGTATGAATTGTCCCAGTAAAAACATGTTACATATTTTTTAATGAACAGAACAACAGTACTTTAGTCTTGAGAAGAAGCTAGCTGAGAGTCAGGAGCAGTTCTTGTCCCAAAGTAAAGAGTATCACAGTATTAAGGAGGAGAACGGCCGCCTCGGTAAGTACTGTGCATTAGGTTCTGTTTTTAATATGTGGATTGTATTGATGCAGTATTGCTGTATAACATAAGTGTGTTTGTTCTTTCTTAAAGCCGAGGAACTTAAGAAGCTAAAAGATATAGAGGAAGAGCAGGGGACAACGCAAGAGGTAACTACGAGTCTCTCACCTGTCATGCTTCATATGGACCTTTATATTTGAGCAGTTAAAGATGATGAAAATATCCCAATGTTTTTGCCGTTCAGAGTAAGCCGCCAAGAGCCAAATATGAAATCGAGGCAGAAAACAGAGAGCTCTCGCGGTTGCTTGAGAAGAGATCTCAAGAAGTGGAAAACCTCAGCGGTATGAGTTATTTTTGGAACTTTTATTTGCATGAGTGATCGAGGTTGTTTAATAATGTGCAATTTCACAATTCTCAATACCATAAAAAAAACTATTATGCTTTTGAACTCTGTTCTATATTTAAAAAGTTAAATATTAATTTACATTACCATTCAGTAGTGTTTTGGGTCATTAAGGTTTGTTTTATGTTTTTGAAAAAAGTCTCTTATGCTTACCAAGGCTGAATTTAGTTGATTAAAATACAGTAGAAACAGTAATATTTATTACTGTTTTGAATATTTTAAAATGTGATTTAATCCTGTGATGCAAAGCTGAATTTTCAGTAGCCATTAGTCCAGTTTTCAGTGTCACATGTTTCTTCAGAAATTATTCTAATATGCTGATTTGCTGCTCAAGAAATATTTCTTATTATTTTCAATATTGAAAACAGTTGTGCTGCTTTTTTGTGGAAATTTATATGTTTTTTCCAGGATTCACTGATGAATAAAAAGTTCAGAACAGCATTTATTTGAAATGGAAATCTTGGTCATGACCTTCATGACCCTGGCTGAATGAAAGTATTATTTTTTTCAAAAAAATAATCTTACTGACCCCAAACTTTGAACGGTAGTGTAAATGTTAGTAAATTAAATTAAAAACGGTGGAATGTAGTCATTAAGTATTTGTAAATTAATTCATTTTAGTTCTAATCAACTAAACTGTTAGAAACAAATTGATTGCTCACATGTGAAGTTGAGTTGGTACTTAGTCCTCCAAAACTGCTAAAATGTGTCTTAACGTTATTATACAGAGGATCTTAAACATCTCAATGACAAACTTGTGGAGACCAACACAATCAAGATGGAGCTCCAGCTTAAATTAGATGAACTTCAGTCATCTGAGGTTTCCATTCAGGTGAATAGTGACTCTCATTTAGCTGCCATTCTCTCTACAATGAAATAATTCATCTGATCGTTGAGTCCATACTTCGATTTGGTTATTCGAAAGGTTTACTGTGGTTCTTTCTCATCAGTATCGTAAGAAACGAATGGAACAAGAAAAGGAGCTCCTTCAGAACCAGAACACATGGCTGAATTCAGAGCTGAAGAGTAAGACAGATGAGCTGTACGCATTATCCAGAGACAAGGGCAAAGAGATCCTGCAGCTCAAGTGCTCTTTAGAGAGCAAGAAGGAAGAGGTGTGAGGGATTTTTGAGAGCCTTATTTATCAGTTGAGCTATATTCTTATTAGATCATTTATCTGCAACAATCTTATGTACTGTATGTTTTAATCAGGTGACCAGACTTCAGGACCAAGTGAGCACGCTCAAGAAAAACAATGACAACATGCAGAAGAGTACTGAGGATCTTATGAACAAACTCAAAGAGGTTCACTATTACCTTCCTGTTCTTATGTAGTTTACCATTTCACATGAAATAGAAATGAAATAAAGGTTGCATTGTTTGTCTTCTATTTTTAGGCTAAAGTCCAGTGGGCCTCCATGGAGGAAAAGTATCGCAATGAGCTGAATGCTAACCTCAAACTCTGTAATTTGTACAAGGTCAGTTAATGTTGATATTTGTTGTGCAGGGTCCAGTGTTAATGTATGGTATAATTAAGATCTGAATCCTTTTGTGTGTTCACAGAATGCAGCAGCAGACTCTGAAGTTAAGAGCGCTGAACTGAGCAGAGCTGTAGAAGAGCTCAACAAACTGTTGAAGGAGGCGATGGAAGGTGTGAAAATTAAAAATGCTTCAGTTAATTAATAGATTTATTTATTTAGTTCATTCCTGTAGCTCATACATTGGAGAATGGCATTAGCAACCAAGGTCATGGGTTCAATTCCTAGGGACTTCAGTGAACTGATAATATATACTTTGTATGCAGTCTAATTTTATTTATTTATCTATCCATTTGTTATTTTATACAAGGTTATCTAATTTTGCACAAATTCACGTAATTTCTTCTTTTCTCATATTAAAATATTAGTTGAGATTCTAAGATTGTAGCAAATATTTCTGTTTCAACCATTACAATGGAACAAGAAGGTTGAGCGCATTGCACTGTGGTATATAATACCTAGAATACTGTGTGTAGTATATTGCATTCACAAAATCTGTGCACAGTATGCAT